GTTGTGGTCTCATTTCCAGACTCGCCTGAGTCCGGAAAAGAGAATGAAGAATGAAGCCGATATTTCAGTTAAAATACATAAGTAAAAATATTTATCCAAGTATAGTACTACCCCCCAACTTTATGGATGATTTTATGGATTTAATTTTACGTATTATACTTGAATAAATACGGTAGTTAGTTTCCAATCTGTTACCTTGATGGTGTATCTGGTGGTCACCTTCTCCAGGGCCATAGCTCTTTCTAGTTTCCTCTCATCCAGCTCCCTCATGTACATGTCGTACAGGTCCTGGAGGTGCGGGGGCACCAGCAGACTGTTGTCTGGAACACATAGGGATGTATAGAAATCCGAAAAATAAGAACCAAATAAAATCTACCATTCAGCCCAAAAGCAGAGCTTTGAAAAGAACTATAAGTAAAAAAAAAAAGACATAAAAAGATTTAAAAATCCAAACCCTGACCAACTCACCCTCAATGACCTGCCTTTGCTGCTGAATGATCTCATCACACAAGTGTCGGTGCTGCTCAAAGCGCTGCACCACAAAGTTCTTCTGTCGGATGACGTTGTCCTTAATCAGCGCGTGGGACTGCATCTCCGTGTTCTCGATCTCCAGCTCGTGGACCTTGCAGAGGAGTCCGAGGACCTCGCGCTGCTCCTCCGAGCTCACCCTCCGAGGAAGCAGCTCCTCCAGGCGCCGGGCCCGGTCCCGGAGCTCCACAAACCGGCGCTCGAGCAACACCTGCGCAGAAAGTGGCTGCTGAGTCAGAGCGGGCTTAAACTTCCCCAAACAAGAAGCTAAATTGTTTTTCAAAGACTGTTTTTCCTCCCACCTTCTGTTTCTGAAGCTTTTTCTGTTCGACCATGAGAGTAACCAGGTTCTCTCGAGCCACAGACACTTCCTGGGTCTCTGTGCTGTCTGGGGGAGACTCTGGGGAATCGGAATCTTTCTCACTTTCATCCTTGTTGACACTTTCCTTCTTCCTCTCTGCACGCCACTTCCTCCTGCGCCTACTCTGCTCCTGCTCCCAGCTAAAAACAAAAGACATTTTTTAGCTGATAATGATGTGTAATTTCTTAGAAAACAGTTTGATTCAAATACAATTCTTATTTTTGCTTAGATTGTCTAGTTGATACGATCTATATTTAGGTCAGATTGTTAATTGAATGTAGGCTGTTCAGCTCATCTTGCACAATAATTAGTTTGAAAGATTTGTACAAATCTATAAGGGAAACTTCAGGGTGTTGAGCACATACTGGAAGTTAATTTAAACCACATCATTCCTAAAATGTGGCACTCAGTATTATTGACTAAGTGTTGTGTTATTGTTGTGCTAAGTGCCCGAGTGAAAGCTATAATCACACAAAATCTTAAAACACTGACTCTGCAATGGTTACAAGGTGTTTGGAGGTGTCGATCTGGATCTCCATGTTGCTGTTCTCCAGCTCGATCAGGGACTTCCTTATCTCCATCTGCTGGCGGAAAGCCTCCAGAAGCTGCTCTCTTATCTGGTCCATCTCTGCCCGGCTCTGCTGGCTGGAGTGGGCTTGGACCTCCGCTGCAAAAAGAACAGAATCAAGTCAAACTTGAACGGTTAATAACAGCCTAAATTTGTCTGTTTTGTTCTTTGCCAGCACGCTCACAGYTGAAAACCCACCCTGGACGTTGCGGATGTCTGCTCTGTCGGAGCTGAGCTGGCGGCTCGCCTGCTCTGCAATCTTCTTCTTGAGCCGCTGGATCTCGCAGCGGAGGTCGGAGATGATGTTGGTGTACTGCGCAATGTGGTATGACACATTGATCAGGTTCTTCTTCACCTAAAGCAAACAGAATCGAGAAACTATTGCTTAAATACTCCAAGAAGTTTCATTRTGTGACCGTACCCAGCTGAATTGTGGCCATATATACATTTACGTGTTTTTTTTATAAACACCATAGCGTGTCACATTGTTGATATAATACGATGTTTTGTTTTGTTTTATCCTCATCTTCACTTATGTGGTTTTTCGTTTTTCTGTTGTGAAAGGCAGCACAACTGTGTTTGCTGCATGACCTGTTTCACCTGTTCCCCCATGTTTGCCTTGTATGTCTTCTTGAATGGGTGTTTCTTAACTGCCCCCTCCCACTTCCCTGAATGTACCTTGTGAATTTATTTCTGTGAAAGGCGCTATAAATAAATAAATAAAAATAACTTTACATATTGTTATCACACTTGAAACAGCACACGGAGCAGAAATACAGCCCACCCAGCCCAGTTTTCAAGCTTACCCGTGTTCGAATGCTTTTGGCACGGTCAGCGTACGCTAGCGTGTTCCGAGACTCCTCAAAAGCTATGGAGGCGGGGCTAATGTGAGCTATCATTACGGTTCTGCTGTTCCCACCCAAAGAGTCCTAACATTGAAAAAACATAACAGATTATTAAATGTAAACAATATAATCCAAACAATCAAAACGGTTTCCCGTTAGCGCACAAACCTTCAGGAGTCGAGTCAACTTGCTGTCTCGATAGTTGACGTACTTGTTGCCATTTTTGTCACTCAGGGCGTTAATGCAGTTGCCCAAAGCCAGAAGTGAGCGGTTGATGTGGGCTCCTTCTTTCAGCCGCTGACCTCTGTTCTGAGTCTGAAAGATGCAGCGATCGATGAGTGAGAAAACCTCTGAACTCAAAGTATTTTTAACGTTTTATCTCTGTGAGGGCACATAAAAGAGAGCTGGCAGTAAATGGAACTGGGGGGGAGATGGGAAATAGCGTGCAACAAAGGAGTGCGGTTTGCATTGGAGACTTTTCCATTCTGGGGCCAAAGCCTCAGAGAGAAACAGCCAAAGGCTAAAATTGCTTTGATAGCTTTTTAAGAGATTTGATTTTCTTTTTTCTTTTTTCACACGTCCAGTTAGAGAAGTTAGACAGGAAAAGTTGCACACCTTCAAGTAGAAACTAGAGTTAGGTTATGTTTTATTTACCGGTACTCTTAAAATGGGTTTACAGGGAGTTAAAAACACGTTGGTGACTGACTAAAAAGCCAACCAAAGAATATACAGCTAATGGTGCGTTCACACCAAACGCGATTTCAGCGTCAGGAGCAGCAGGTTTACATGCAAAGTCTATGGT